AATAGAAATAATGAGGAAAGGAGGTGTAAATGGCAATATGAAAGAATGGAATGTGTACTAAAGGGATAACTATGAAAGAATGTCAGTGACGGTGAAGGAAGTCCAAAATGGATATGATTTGTTGTATAATGGATAAAATGTATAATGAGTTGGAATTCAATAAATAAATAAATAAATAAATAAAAAGACTCCCAGGTCTATCACTCAATTACACCCACTCCTGACACTGAGTGAACTGCCTCTTGGGGGCTCGGGAACTGTTTTACTCAACAAAGGATATCATAAAACACAGTAGCATATCGGTATAGAAACTTCCATAGCATACTCTGTTTGCATCAACAATATATACCACAAATGTATATATTTACACATGCATACATGCCTACTACTACATAAATATAGGGCCATCAGTGTGCATGGTACTTTAGATTCACAAAGTACACTGCAACCACAACAACTACTACGACCACAATGTTATTCATGTAGTACTACAAATTAGTAAACACTTCATCATAAAGAACTGAAGTTTGTTTCTTGGATTAATCCATCAATTAACTGAGTGTATTTTGATTTGGGTCACAGATGGCGCCTAGGGAAAGCAGATATTGTAAGCAATCTGTGCACATTCCTTGGAATCAGGCAGTGAATTTAAGACTTGTTTCCAAATGGCATATGATGTTGTCTGTGTTCCTCGTGTCATGTTAAGATATGGCATTTACAATAGCTTATTAACCATGAATGGCATGCTCTAACCCTTCCAGCATGTACATCCAGCCTGCCTGTGTGAGATAAGATGCCCCAGAGCACCATAGAGCCCTTTCCTCACCCAGTCGCTTCCCAGCTAGCCCTTGGCCAACAACATACCCACCCATTACTCCCACTCAGAGTACCATCCCCACCTCCCATAGGTAGATGCAACAGCTCTGCTTCTCCACAGGTCTTCAGCATGCAGCAACAAGAAGCCTTCCCACTGGAAAATCTGCCATTATCCTTGCCACTAGGTGCCTACACTCCAAACAGGGACATGGGAGGATATAATGTTTTTCTTTGTACAATACTTCATCTGCCTTATGCAGGATTTCCTTCACACAGAGAGGCCATCATAGTGATGGCCATTTTGTCAGTCAAAGTATAAAAACCATATACAGTCATACCTTGGAAGTCGAACAGAATTCATTCCAGAAGTCCGTTCGACTTCCAAAATGTTCAAAAACCAAATTGCGGCTTCTGATTGGCTGCAGGAATCCCCATCGGATGTTCAGCTTCCAAAAATAGCTAGCAAACCAGGAGCCAAAACATTCGGGAACTAAGCTGTTCAAAAACCAAGGTACGAATAGAGTAATAATAATAATAATAATTTATTATTTGTACCCCGCCCATCTGGCTGGGTTTCCCCAGCCACTCTTGGCGGCTTCCACAAAGACCAAAAATACACTAATTTGTTATACATTAAAAACTTCTCTGAACAGGGCTGCCTTAAGATGTCTTCTGAATGTCAGGTAGTTGTTTATCTCTTTGACATCTGATGGGAGGGCGTTCCACAAGGCGGGCGCCACTACCGAGAAGGCCCTCTGCCTGGTTCCCTGTAGCTTTGCTTCTCACAGTGAGGGAACTGCCAGAAGGCCCTCAGCGCTGGACCTCAGCGTCCGGGCAGAACAATGGGGGTGGAGATGCTCCTTTAGAGTACGTCCATTTCTCACAAATAATGTAAACAGGCACTCACATCATCATGCACTCTCACAAGGACACACCCTGTTACATGGGAACAAGAAGAGACCTGCATTTACAGATCTTCAGGTCTGCATCCTTGTTCACAAGCTCAAATGATCAGAAATGTACGCGCACACACAAATGCACATAGCTTATCTCAAATAATGCATTGTAGTGATGTGATTGCTGAGTCTGTAAGGTAATCTCCTGGCCTTGGCAAATGCACTCACTGGGTTTTTTATCTGTTGTAGTGAAATGCAAATTAAATGACATGTGGGAACACAGCAGGTCAATGTATAAACATCATTCCCTCTTTATCAACAGATTTGCTTTCTTTGACATTTTAATTCTGTCCACATTTTTTTAAAAAAAGGATCCCCACATTGTCATTAGCTTTACTGATTAGCTCCCAGTGTCTAAGGCAGGGCCATGGATCATTAAAAGCATCTGAAATATGGGCCTTCCAGCAAGTTGTTAGTTCCGCTAGTAAATAAAAATTAAAGCTTGGGAATATCTAGTATAAATCATTGTAAAGTACAGAACAGCCATATTTCATCACAGTGACTCAGCGGTGTGGCTGTTCAGAGGATGATGGGTTTTAAATATAAAAGGACTAGCATGTATATAACATTTGCGCAGTCAGTTGGGATATACATTTAGGGAGGGAAGCATAGGGCCAGGGAAGGCAGACCAACAGAGGCTGGTATAAAGGCTGGTTAATTCATGTGTTTTTGTTCGTAAGTTGGATTGTAGCCATGCTCTGTAATAGAAATGTCAAACTCAAATATTAATGGGAAGCTATACAACTTGTCAGAATTATTGAAGGGGATGAACAGAATCATCATCCTCATCCTCATCATATTTTATTTATTTATATTTTGTGCAAACTGAAAATCTTGCTTTAAAACTTTTTGTTTGGTGTTGGGGGAGAGAAAACTAGAATCATGTTATCCAGGATTCTGCTGCTGTGCTTGACGGTGCTTTTGTATTAACATAACTGAATTGATCAATGTAGTTCACTTGGCTCAGCTCATAGACATGAGGAGATGATACTCTATGGATTAATTGTCAGAAAACCAGTGTGGGAGATCCAAAGGTTGCATACCTTTCTTGCCTAATGTAACTTTGATTATTCAAAGTTTGGAAAATAATCTATTGATTGTAAGACACTATTCCAGATGGTCCGTAACGGAACAGCAAGATTTGGGAGTTGATTTATCAGGAATGTTGAGAACAGGGAGTAAGGGCAGTGAGAGAATGTTTCCCATTTAATTGGGCAGGTAAGGCGTATTCTCCACAATTTTGTCATGATGGCACCATGAACACTCCAAAAAGAGTTTTCCATAGTACCACTTTTGCATGAGCAATTAAAACTGCTTCTTCATTCGGTGGAACGCATCGGTGGCAACCTTTGACAGCAGCCACATGGAAAGAATTACTATAGAAATAAAGGGTTGCTCATTTGATGGGACACTGAGAATAGCCAGACAGAAAGATGTGGCTTATATTCTGTCTCATTGAGCCAGGATCTGCTGATCCTAGGATTTGAAAGCTGTTTTTGTTCAGAGGTTGTAGCATCTCACTTTGTGTTCTGTACAGATAGCAATATGGAATGGATTGCACATGTAATACCATGGGTTCTTTTCTATCCAGACACCTCTGGCAAAGTAAATCTTTGTTTGTGCCTGCTTAACAGTCTAGGGACTTGGAAGTGTTGTTTTAGATCTCACTTTGTGTGTGGAAGTAGACACATATTTATGCTAAGTACGCTGTTGTTGATAAAAGCCACAATTGAAGCTATGGCTCTTGCTGTCTAGGGGTTCCTGGTATGCAGAATGAGCCCATGTCAAGATCTCTATATTGGCCCTTCTAAAATCCAGTATGATTCCGAATTTGGTGACAGTGTGGCATGACGCCAGTGAAGCCAATTGCATGCTGTTGCCATTACATGCCTGCACAGCCCCAAACTCCCTAAACCTCAACCTTCTCCCTCCTGTTAGCGCCAGCAATGCATAGTGGAGCCCAACCTATACCACTGCATGTGCTATTGAAGTTGCCTTTGGAGGTGAGGAAGGGACATAGCTCAGTGTATGCATAAAGCCCCAGGTATCTCTGGATAGAGCTGGGAGAGACCCCTGTCTGAAACCCTGGAGAGATGCTGTCTGTCAGTGTAGATAATACTGAGCTAGATAGACCAATGGCTTGACTTGGTATGAGATAGTTTCTTATGCTCCTATGCTCATTCTACAGCTGTTATAGAAGACTTCTGTGCATCCCAGTGTGGCCAAACGCCTTGTTAGCCTTTTAGTAAGAGGGAATGAATAACCCCGCAGTAAAGAAAATGGTCTGAAATTACTTACATAGCACTTTCCATGGTGAATGTTCTGCATTTGCCTTCTTATAATAACCCTATTATAATGTGAGCATTTATTACTATTCCAGTTGTACAGATTGGAAACTGAGATTGAAAGATAATGGCATGCCCAAATCCATCCAGTGAACCCTGTTGAACTGGGACTTAATCCAATTTCCTACATTCAAATCCAGCATCAACAGGAACTCATTGGCTTCCCATTTTAAATGTCCAGATAGCGCCTTCAATTTAAATGGACGGAATGCACTCTTTCCTGTTTGGAAAGAGTTGTGTCTTGTTTGGTAGGTTTATTTGAATCAAGTGATTCAAGGAGTAGAATACCAACTCTGAATCGTTTCATTTCCTTGGAACCTTCCCCCTTCCTTTCTTTCTCATTTATCCTAAATGAGATCTTTGTTTTTCTTTAAAATCACTAGCAGGCTTCCCAAATCCAACCAAGTAGCTTGTTTCTCCCCTGCCTCCTTTTTTCTTTCTTTCTCTTTCTTTCCAGGAGTATTTTCCCAATACAAAGCCATTTTTGCACTCAGTGTTTACCGTTTGTAAAGAGACTAGGGTTTACCTTGGTACTTTAGTCGCTGGAACAGTTGAATTCTACCAGCTCTCTACACTGTTATCCAACACCGAAGATAAACTGATGGTCCTTCCCCCATAAGAGGTTCCTGCCAGATCATGATGCCCCCTCCTTTCTTCTCAGCACCTAATTGCTGGACCAGCAGGAGTGAGCAAAGTAACCACCCAGTACGAGGTAGACGCTGTTTTTGCTTCTCGCATCGGAGCGTGATTAATATTAGTCAGCCAGATGGGTGGAGATGACAGGAATAATAAAGTAGCTCATTAGGGGACGATGCTTGGAAGGTCAAGACAGAGCCGCGATGCATTTGTGGTGAGAAGGTTGGGAGGGGTGAATAGGGAGAAGGAGGAAAGCCCTCCTTTGGGTAAACACTGTCGAAGAAGGTAGTGAGGCGGGTGGGGGAGGGGGGAGAGAAAGACACGCGTTGGTTCCCAAGCAGAGGAGGCAGAGGAAGGTTCCGCCTGTAGGAACCTGAGCGTGAGCCGACCCACTCTGTCAAGGAGCGCGGGGAGAGACGGGCAGGCGCGTCAGGGTTTGAGAGGAGTGATTCGAGAGGTGCCGTCGTCAGGCTGCGGGAAAGAGACAGGAGGCGGGCTTTGCGCGCAGGACTTGAGAGAGCAGCACCTCTCCGCAGCTGGCCACGGGCTTCTGGAGCGCCGCTGGTGAGTGAGCCCGTCTGGGAGGGACAGGTGGCGTGGTGCTGAAGGGACAGCTCCCCGGGCGCGGAGGGGGAAACGGGATCCCGCAGGGGCTGAGGAGGAACCGCGAAGATCGCGGGTGGTGGTCTTAGGGAACTCGGTGGGTCCTCGGTAGCCGGTGGGGTATTCTTTCTCTAGCCACCTCTATCTGCAGCCGAGAAAAGGAGGGTGGGATCTGTGTGGGCGCAGCAAGGGGCGCTACTCTACTAGGTCTCCCCGTCTGCCTTACATTCAGAAAGGAACTACGAGCGTGACCCTGTTTAAAAGAAAAGGTTGGCCTAGGGAGCCAGCTGCCCCCTGCCTTCCCCTCAGTCTTCACTGCGTTTTGGGATCTGTTTTTGGGTCTTTCCCCGGAAGCACGCGCTGTGTGAGGCGGAGAGGTTTCGCGGAGGGAGCTGTCCAAGTGCTGATTTGCCCTCTCCGGGCTTCGCCCACGGAGCGCAGGCTTCAGGGACTCGTCGCGGCAGGTGGCGATCTCTGCCCGCTGCCCAGCCCTGAACGTCCGAGCGGAGCCGCGGGCGCCCGCCTGTCTCCTGCTCTGCATGTTAATAACTCGGCAGTGCGGATGACGGTTGGGTAAGGTGGGGTGCGCGGGTAGAAGATTGGGGACAGCCGTGCGTTATTCGCCGCCCAGTCGGAGCGGGAGGGTTGGTACTAGGGAAGGGGGTGAACTTGGGAGTGAGGGGGCGCCATGTGGCGCTAAACCATACGCGAGCTAAGTCACATACACACATGCGTTCTTCCAGAGACGCCCGCGCATGGTACACGAGACCCACCTCAAGGAAATGCGGAGAGAAACCCACAAGTGGGCGCACACCCGCCCACGCTACGCCAACTCCCAGGAATCCTCGGAACCCCTCTGCGCCCATCGCCTGCCTCTGGGACTTGACCCACAGGCTGCGTGCGCCTCTGTCTCAGCCCCAGAGGCAGTTTCTAGCCAGCTAGAAGACTAACCCGGACCGAACCAGGACCTTGCCCGCTTTTGCAGCTGAAGCAAATCCGCCGGGGATGATCGCCAGAGCTCCATGGTCTTCTGGCCGATCGCGGTCGCACCTGATTGCGACCAAGTGATTGGTTCCTCGCTCTCCGCCCTTGCCTGGGAGATCTCTGTTTGCTAGGCAGCCGCACAGCTCCAGCGGTCGAGTGGGCAGGAGGAGCCCTCCTCGCTCTCTGGCTCTGTGTGCGCTCTGTCGCGGCGGGGCTGGGGCTGGGGAGCATCCATCCATGTGTGCTTGAAGGGATGAAAAGCAAAGCAAGTTTTCTCGTGGCTTCCCTCCCGCTCGCTGGCGCAGGGCACGGTTCGGGGTCGTCAGTGTAGTGTCATTTGGAAACGCGCGAGAGAAGAAGAAGAAGAGGAAGAAGATTTGCTAAGAGCGGGTCAAGTACCCCCTGCTCGGTCTATTAGACAGTCTCCTCTTTTCCCCACTCACCTCTCCGACAGGCTTCCAGAGGGGGACTTTGACCCTTGGCCACTCAAGTTCCACCGGTGGGAACCGAAGCAAGTTAGATTTTCGAGTCAGGGTCACTGTGCCAAAGATTTGCGCCTGCCTTCCTTACTGCGCCGGCAACCCAAAGACTCCTGTGGTTGGTGGTCTCCCCGCGCCCTTAACTCGGGCTGGGTCCCTTGCATGTCCTTCCCGAAGCAGCTGGGGCTCCTCTGCTAGCGGTTGGTACAGCCGCAGCTCCGCTCTGCTTTCCCTCTTCGGGATCTTTAGAAACTCAGCGGAGGGCGGTAAAGCGTGCAAAGGCAGGGCAAACTCGACGGGCTGCATTCATTCATCCCCTGGGCAAGGAGGGCTGCCGGAGTTCCTGGCTAAATGCACCAGGTGCCAGAACCAGCAGCCCCAGAAGGCAGATATGCTAACCAGCAAAGGATTCTCTTTCCACACACAAACATGCACGCACGCAGTTTTTTACACACTGTGTATCTCGGACACACGCAGGCATTACAAACACTTTGCAGAGACTGATCCCTAGGAATCCGCTTAAGCCCAGGTTCCCATTTAGATGCATTCAGGTTAATTGGACTAGGTCGTTTTAATTCCAGGGAATTAAAAGTGTGTGGAATGTGTTTGTGCACATTCACAGAAGGGCAATTTTCACACACATGACACTTAAATAACCTTTGAGACTTTTCTTTTTTTGGAAAAAATGATGCAAGCAACACTTATGAAAATGTCCATTAAATCATACATTTGACTCACAATATCAAGCAGAAACATCCCTAGCTATATCTCTCCAGTCTTTCTCACTCTCTCCGGGCTGCTTGTTCCATTTTATTTTGCCTAGTTCTTTCCCCCAGCACACATAATCCTCTGCATAATTTCCTTGAAAAAAAGAAACATAATTCTTCAACCACTTCAGCCCCCTTCTCTTCAACATCAAGATGCCATTGTTCCACACGGTGCACAACAAATGACATCCTATGAACACAGCTGCCATACAACACAGATGTGTTACATTTTGTGTGCATGTAGTCCCATAGAATGCAATGCTGCACATCTCAGTCATGCACATCCTGTTTTCTGTGGCTTCCAATGCGCAGGGACACTCCATGTACCTCCAGTGTCAAAGTCAGTTAATATAACCTGATCTAACACCTAACTCCTTTGCATCGTTTTAAATTCTCTCATGCATGCTTCCTCACATGTCCTATGGTGCATAATTTGCAGGAGGTATACAACTGCTGTTTTTATATAATGCTGCATACATCTTTCTCCCACTCACTCTGACATGTCATGCACCACTCTTGGAATATGTGTGATATGCCATTAGCCACTTTTGCTGTTTAACAGTTATCGGGCGCCATTTGGCATCTGGGCACTGTGTAGGATCCTTGTGTCACTTGTGAAACTCTGGCTTACCACTCTTAATTTTTGGGGTGTGGGGAGAAGTCCTGAGGATCAAACCTACCTGGAATCTCTACTTTCTAGTCTAGAAGTCCTTCCCCTGTAATTCTGGAGATGCAGAGGGGGCCTGTGGTCACTTAGAGCTGGTTCAGACGTGATAGCAAGTGCTGACACTTACGCTTCAGCTTTTCATGCACCCACATTGGTTTTCTGTGCATGCACTTGTCAGCAGTTGCTGTAACATCCGTTGTGGTTTTGTGTTCTGTTCATGCTCAGAGACCCTCTCTCCTTAATTACATCTTCTAGAGCTTCAGCCCCAGCACTGAATATGGGATTTGGAGCTGAGCCTAATGAGTCCTTACTTAAACTAAGGATCGTGTCTCTAGCTCCATCTTCCACCTGCCTCAATTCCCCTGCTCTCTCCATCTCTCTTTTACACACACACACACACACACACACACACACCTAATAATAATAATAATAATAATAATAATAATAATAACAACAACAATAACAACAACAACAACAACAATTTATTATTTATATCCCGCCCATCTGGCTGAGTTTCCCCAGCCACTCTGGGCGGCTCCCAATCAAATGTTGAAAACAGTACAGCATTAAATATTAAAAAAACTTCCCTGAACAGGGCTGCCTTCAGATATAATATAACATAATCATTTATTTGGCGTAGTTTCTGTAATAGTTTCTCTGTTACACATCCTGTTTGACAATGCAGAATCTCCACTCTTAATGCACCACTTACATGCATGTGTGTTTGTATTTCTATATACCACCACCTGGATACATTATTAAATACACATTATGGCTCCATCACACCTGGCCCAAAATGTAAACAAAGCAAGCTTATTTAATATAATCTTATCCTAGATTACTCATGTGATGCAAGCCACAAACACTAGTCACAGCTTGGCTGTTGACTCTTTCCAAAAGTAATTGATTGTGTCTTTGTTTCATTTACCATCCTTTAACTTCTGTCTGTAGAGAATCAGGCTGATCACTTCTCATTAGTGGCTGAATTAAGGTGCATAGAGGGAAGATTAAAATTTATTTAAGAATAGCCCTGCCAGATCAGTCCAGTTATCCATCTAGTCCAGCATTCTGTTCTCATGGTGGCCAGCTAGATTTCCATGTGAAGCGCACAAGCAGTACCTGAGCACAGCAGCACCCTCCCCTCTTATGATTTCCAGTAACTCCTCTGTACTGGGGACAGTAGCACTAGATGGGCAACAGCTGTGGCAGCTGAAATAAGGCAAATTCAAAGGAACCAGTCAGCCGTGGATTAAAGAGCTGAACTTAAAATAATGTGACTAGTCTTCTTTCTAAAAGAGGGAGCCTGCATCCAGGTCCAAGTGGGTCAAGAATTTGTTTTTCCTATTCTGCCCATCCTGTTAAAGAGAAGGACAAGGACGGACTCACTCACTTGCAAGACACTCTCTTATGGAGAGTGCATCTGTTGGTGGTTGGACAGACCTGTCCTTAGAACAAAACAAAAAATAATTCTACAAGGTGGTTTGCCAAATTAACATGTTTTGGTATGGTAGTTGAACATTTGTAGTATAGGCATAGTACTTATTGCCTTTCTCCTTTGTAACTTTTTGCTGAACTTGGTGTTTGGTGCAATGCGGTGTGCCAAACAACCTCACATCTACCTATGCTGAAAATTCAAATCTTTCTGGCTTCTTAAGCTCTCTTCCTAGAGCACCGGGATGAAAGATTCCTTAAGAAGTCTGGGCAGGTGCTGAAGGCCACATTACTGGTGGTTCCTTGGAGATTAAAGATTAGACCCAGACCACTGTGGGGCTGGTTTCCAAATGGAGTCTCTCCTCCCACACCATTTTGCAACTTGTGCAGTGTGACCAGATGGTGCTTCTCACTCTTACGAGCTCAAAGGCTCACAGAATGTCACGAGGTTATAGAATCATGGGATTTTAGAGCTGGAAGGAATCTTGGTGGCTATCTAGTCCAACCCCAAAGAGCAGATTTTCACATCATCCTGGATTTCCAGTTTTTACAAAGGTTAATTTGCACAGCCATTGTGCATGTGGTGGCTGAAAGAAATCCACTTGAGATAGTTCAAAGGTGGGTTGTCCACCC